ACACAAAATTGCACAAAATAGTGTTTTTATTTAATTTTTTGAAATAGCCACACACGTGCAGCTGCAAACTTCCACAGTTGAGCTAATGCAGGGATACAGTGCCTTGACTGGGCAATGTCTAGGGACAAGCCTGTGCCCAGGTGAAGCAGGTACCAACTCAGAAGGGCTTCCCTGTGAAAAGACTATCTGCCAAGAGAAAAGCTTTGCGGGAACTTTGCATGTGAAAATGGGCTGTTTTGGGATTTATACTCTCTTCATCGCAAGACCTGTTAGTCTACATGCTGTGAACCTCTTGCACTTTTTCCAAAGCCATTAAGTACTCACAAAGGGGCAAAGTGCACCCCCTTTTTCCAGAGAATAGAAGTTTTGACCAATTTGACAAATGTCATTATTCTGGGCCCCTTTAAAGAGTTCAGGCTGGGCAATGCCATAGATTTCCTAGCTACTGAGAATGCTGTGGACAAAAGTATAGGGTAATCTGGGCAATCCTTTTTCAATGAAATAGCAGTACAGTTCATGAATTTTATCAGAAGTCTCTTTATCAGGCTGCAAAATGCAACCCAGTGGGCAAGCAGAACTGTAGAGTTTGTCTATTTTCCTAATGGCAATCTTCCACCACCTCCATAAATCAAGAGCTGCTAAATAAAATGTCTGTGCCAGTAAACTGATGATGAACATAAAACCTGAAGAAAGGAGAACACACACTGAAGTAACTCCACTCAATAAGGGTACAGATGATTTGCATATAATGACAATCTAAACCACAAGCTAAGTATGGATTGGCATTGAATTGTAAGTTGCTGCTGAATTCTGGGTTAGAATTATGTTCAAACTCTAGTTTAACTATAGGTTGCTAAGCATGAATACAGAATTCACAACCCAGCATCAAGCCATGGCTTGTCATCTGGGGTTGTTTGTGGTTAACAACCCACATTATAGTGCAGGGTTTGCACATTACAACAGCCCACAATTCCACAACAACCCATAATGTAGGCTGTTGCTACATGCAAGCTGCTTTAGCGAGAGACTTGCAAATCATCCATTCTTGTAGACTGAACTACCAACGGGAAGCAGGAATATAGGAGCACAATAGAGAGGCAAGTTTTGCAAGGAAAAGAATCTGCTCCATGTTCTCATTAATCCCAAATTCCACCAACACAAGGAGACAGCAGCTCAGGCAAGAACCAAGGCTATAAATCCAGAGACGACAGTGATGGACGGCCTATAAATCTCCTAAATAAATTAATTAATTTGAAGCAACCTCAAGTCAAGTAACTGAACATGACTGGAGCTGCTGAATCAGAGACCAGTGTCCAAGTTTCAGAACACAACTGGCACTCTTATAGCTAAGACAAGAAGATGAGTTACCCCAGCACTAACCTGGCACAGCTGCAAAGGTTTTATGGTCTGGCCAAGAAGTTATGTCCACTCTGAAATTATGCCCACCCACATGCTGCAATCTGGACATCCTAAAGGGCTGGTAGGTTTTTGCAGTGTTGATGGTGTCTTCTAGGGTTGAGAATGGGGCTATGATGACTGAGTTCAGGAATGCTCCCTTGGACCTCCTGGCTATCATAGTTTCAGCTTCAGTCTTCAGTGTCTGACGGAGGCAATATTTTCCCAGGGGTGAGCAGATAGGGTATGTAACCTGGGGAAGAGCCCTACTCAGGAAGGACCAGGGAGCGTGTATGGTAGGAGTGGCTCTGCTGCAGAAGCAGCTCCATGATTCCATCTCTAAAGGACTCTTGACTTGAGCCCAAGACAGTCCAGGCTAAGTCAGCAAAGAGCATAGCAGCAGCCCTGAGGTCAGACCAGATGCCCCTCTACTCAGCCAGCATCCTGCTTCCCATCTTGGCCACTCAACTGCCTTCAAGAAGTCCACAGGCAGGGCATGAAAGCAATAGTTCTTGTTGTTCTGCAACAACTGGCGCTCAGTGGCTAGCCTCTGAACTTATTGCAAACGGAAGCAACTGACAAACCAGTCCTCTGTGACTTGTTCAGCCCCCCCTGAAAACTAGAACAGTAGCAGTTCTCAGCACATCTTGTGTCACCAAATTCTATAAAGCAATAATGTACTCCATGAAGCTGAACTTCATTTTGTTTATGAAACGCCCATCCAGCTGCCCATCCATTTCACAGGATTACCCCAAATTATAAGATACCCCAAGATGCTCCTGTCCCTGAATCACTTTTCAAGTCAACAACTTAGGTCCTTTTTGTGCACCCCTTTGATGCACCATTTCCGACTCCAGGTTTTGGACAGGTGTTGGCAGGGGAGGCTGGTAACTCCTATGTCAAAGGTACTCTTCATCCATTGCAGCCTTTATTTTGA